CTTTTAACTCTAAACACAAGAGAATTCCTTCAGTTTTCCAGTTTTCTGAATTCAAGGCTCTTGAGTTGTTTTTCTTGTGGTCCCCTTTTTAGACCAGAGCTTTACTTTTGGAATGATCCCTGCTGCACAGCCCTGGTGAGGGGCAGCACAGCTCAGCCCCTCAGCTCCTTGCAAGCCCCTACCCAGCCTTATTCCCCTGGAGACAAAACCCTTCCCTGCCTTTAATATAACACAGGATTCAGCCTTATTTACTGTACCAGTCTGATTCCCCTTGCATCTCTGTCGGGGGTTAATCTCTCTTTTAACTCCTATCTGCTCTCTCTTTGTACAGCTTTAAATCCTCCTGTAAAAGCTTGAAATGTGAAGTGCTATGAAAGGGCATCCCCCACTGTGCCCATACCCCTCCCTGAGTCTATTTGCTTGTGTGCAGGGCTGTTGCTGCAATTTCTGCTCTTTTCCAGCTCCAGCATTTGCCCCAGAGCAAGAAAGGGAACCCTGCTCACCTCAGGCAGCCCCAGTGGCACCTGCCTCTCTGCAGGACACAGACATTTCCCCTGTGGCTGCAGGGAGCAGAGATTTTGACAGCGCAGTGCAAAGCCTGGGTGCTCTAACTTCCAATAAAAATGGAAAACCACTGCTACACAGAGTTACCTGTCTGCAGTCCAAGTGTTTGGTGGCAGGAGTAGCATGTGGGCACTGGGGCTGAAGGGAGGAGATACCCTATTTCCATACAATTTACAGTTCAGGAGTTACACAACAGATGTTGAGCCTGGTTGGAGCTGCAGACACCAGGCAGGGGTTATCTGGCTCCCACTGAGCTGCACTTCAGACAAGATATGCAGAAGTAGAACTCATCCATCAAATCACTCCTGCATTTCTTATTTTATTCATTCTGCAAGAGTTACCAACAACACTGTGAGCAGATCCTCAAGTGGGGAAGGAGGAAGCTCCAGTCCAACCAACAGGTCACCAGGACAGCTGCCTTCCCACTGACATTGCAAGGGTCAGGTAATGCCTGAAGAGCCCCTCTGTGCTCCTGGCAGAACATCACACTGCTCTGCAGTTTGGAATTAGCAGTTTCATGTGAAACAGACCCAAGATATTTTTTTCCTAGCCTCATAGAACAGCTTTGCAGGGATGCACCTGTGAAAGCATTGGCCAGACAGAGGCACCAGGGAATAAAGCCCACAGCACTTGGCCCAGTCCTTGCACTTCTCAGAAGGCTTTCACAAGCCCTTTACTACCCAAGATCTCTGCCACGGTGAGAGCTGGACACTGGCCTCCCTTTGTGTCCATCACCTGGCATGGCCTGCTGCCATTTCACACCCAGGGCCCAGGCTGAATGGTGTGACATTCAGGCTCCTTTGCTCCAGGCCCAGCCCCTTCCCAGCTCCCTCAGCCTCTCCTGGGGCTCCAGCCCCTTCCCAGCTCCATTCCCTGCCCTGGACACGCTCCAGCCCCTCATGTCCTTCTTGCCATGAAGGCTCAGATCTGTCCCCAGCTCAGCCTCGGCAGTGCTGGCACAGAGCAGTGTGAAACATGTGCTGCTCAGGTCAGGCTGACTGCAGCAGAAATGCAGCTTTCCAAGAGGGAATTTTTGCCAGACTCCAGGCTCCTACCCAGAGGGATGACACACAGGGAAATCAGAGCCAGGATGTGGGCACGCAAGGCATCTTTTGTTCCTCGGCGAGAAAAGCAAGAATCAGCCAGGCCATCAGCAGCTGTGCTGTCCTTCTGTGTGACCATGGCACAGCTTTCAGATTGTTCCCAGGAGGGCAAACACCTTCTGTGGCCCCTCAGCCCCACTGCACCTCTCCAGGACAGGACCCTGACCAGAGCAGGTACCTGCACTGCCCTGCAGACAATCCATGTCCCAAGGCACTCACTGCTTCCAACCCAGGGCCACTAACAATCTCTAAATGATCCATCCTTCCACCATCTCACCACCACTAACAATCACCAAATGATCCATCCTTCCACCATCCTAGCACCACTAACAATCTCTAAATGATCCATCCTTCCACCATCTCACCACCACTAACACTCACCAAATTATCCATCCTTCCACCATCCCAGCACCACCAACCATCACCACCACTAACAATCTCTAAATGATCCATCCTTCCACCATCTCACCACCACTAACANCCTTCCACCATCCCAGCACCACCAACCATCACCACCACTAACAATCTCTAAATGATCCATCCTTCCACCATCTCACCACCACTAACAATCACCAAATTATCCACTCTTCCACCCTCCCAACACTTGACTCCACAGCCTCCAGCAGCAGCACTTGGAGCAAACTGACTCCATGCTGCTCATTTTGTTTAAAACAACAGTGTTTCAATGAACTGAGTGTGTTTAGTCCCACACTGGGTATCTGGGGAGTTTCTAAAGAGCTGGCCACTGTAAAAATTAGAGGATGTTACATATGAATTTTAATCACTTGCCTGGTTTTGTTTTTGGTTTTTTTTCTTAAGCTGTTTCACACAAAAGTGCTGCAAAAACATCCTCTTTGTGAAACTTAAGGGGAGTTTTAATGCACACTGAATCCACTGTATATGTTCAGGTGCTTTATGAAAAATTCTGACTCAAAAAAGGGATCAGGTGTTGTTACACAACACCTGCAGCATCACCAATAGCTTTTAGTTTTTCCTTTCTTTTTTTTTTTTTTTTTTTTGGCGGGGGGTGGGTTTCCCTTTTAAATTGGCATTTTCTGATGACAGGACAAAAGCAAACACAGGATGCCATACAGTCACCTGTGAAGGTGCCCCCTGTCCCATCTCTGGGGCACTGGGGTTGAGGCAGTGGGAAAGCACAGGAGCAAGTCACTAACACTTGTACACACTGACTGCCTTACACTCTGCCCTGCCACCCTGTCTCTGCAAGGAAAGCTCAGAAATGAAAATCTAATTACCTCTAATTTTTCTCATTTAACACAGCGTCTTTAGTTTTGTGCCCTTTTCCCTTGTCATCCCACTCAATCCCATTCAATCCCCTTCACTGTGCTTTCCCTGTGTGCTCTGGGCCACTAATGGACATAAAGTATTCAAAAACCCCCAAGACTGGCCAGACTGTTTTCCTGCTCTCCGTCACCTTGCAAATTTGACCTTCTGAGATGGCAGGCTTGAGTTCTATTGCTGATCTATAAGGATGCACCAGACATAATCCAATTGTTTAAAAGCTGAACTGCAAAACAAGTGATATCTTTGCACCAGTTTAGGTTTAACAAGCCACATCCCACCTCACCCCAAAGCAGCAAAGCTGAGCTGCAGACATGAGGCATCCCACAGAGTCAGCATTTCAGCTGGAAAAAGGGCAAAAAGAACTCCTTTATCCATCACCCAGGGGCTATGCCATCCACATCCCCTGCCCCAGCAGCTCCTCCACTCTCCTTGGAGCACCATGGAGGGAAAATCTTGGATCAAGCTACAGAAAACACAATACTCACCCAGGAGCGCAAAGACTTAAAACTTGGTGTGCCACATTTTAAGGCACATTTCAAATAACCAGGTAGATTCCTATAATCCATGTCCCAATCTCCTCTCAGCCCTGTCTGAAACCCTCTTTTGTACCCAAGCCTGCAATTACCATAATAACAGCCCAAAACAGCACCAGAGGAGCACTGAGCAGTGAGCACCTTGCCTGAGAGCTCTGAAGGTGGTTATTTTCCTGTCCCCTTGAAAACAGAGCAGTCTGAACCACCCAGAGACAGCAGTTATCCTTTATGGGCTGCTGTCAAAAGTAGTTTTATTCTGATAAGGAGGGAAGCAGAGACAAGCATTGTTAGCTAGAGCTGCTATCCCTCTGCCTGCATAATTCCTGAGGGATGTGGGAGAACAGCACCTAGCAAACCTCAGCACCTGAAGTTTGTCCCTTCACAAACTTCAGTGGAAAAGCGAGTTGCTGGATTGTGTTTTAGACATTTGCCTTGGAAAACCCACAGGTCCTGTCCACACAGGTCAGCAAAACCCTGGTATCTCCTAAAAAGAGCCCTGCAGCTTGCTGCTCAGTCTGGAATCACACAAGGACAAAATCCTAAATCTTCCTCCTTCTGCAGGCAGCTCCCCAAATCCCTGAACTGTTCTCAAAGCAGTTTTCCCCAGAGCACAAGCACTTGCTGGAGTGCAGTGCAGGCTGGACTCAGTTTGGGTGCAATCCATCTGATCTCTGGCCATGGCAGTGCTCCTCCAGATGCATTTCTGGATTGAAATCCGGCTCATTTTTATTAGAAATACATCCTAACTCACCACTAAAACCCAGACACAGGACACAGCAGAAAGAAAGAACCTTGGAAAATGGTTCAGTGCTTGCTCTTGCTGTTAAAAGCCAGGACTGTACAGAAATCTCAGCTAATTCACAAGCAAACAAAAACACAGTGTGAGTCCTGACAACTATAATAAAATGATCCCTGGTACAACAATTTTCACTTTCCTCTCCAATTCTCTTTTGGATCATGACTTGTTTCTTAGGAAAAAAATCCTACATTTGTCCCCAGCAACACAACAAGCACAGAAATAAATAAAGTAAAACTCTCACCATATCCATCTGGTGAAGGGAGGATTTGAGGGACCCATAAATATCTCCAAGTATCTGCCAGTTAACACTTAACTCAAAATCACAATATCCCCATAAAGCAACAACTAACATCAGCTTCTGGATTTAGTTTGATTATCTCACCAAACTATCTGAAATGTGGTTTCCTCTAAGCTACTAAACATGACACTTGCAGAGTGGTTTGAATTTTTTCCAGGAAACTCATCCAAGAAGGGATCCCCTGCAGAACCCCTGAGTTCCTGAGGAGCACAGGGACCCCATCAGCCCAGCAGCCTGGGTACAAGCTGGGATCAAGTCATTAGGCAGAATTAATTAGAAATACCTGACCTCCAGCACACTGTCTTTCACGACTTCCCTTTCACTGAGTATCTGGAGCATTTGATGGCATTTTTGCCCACTTTTTACCCAAACCCCCATGGCTGGGTATCCCCACTGACCTGGCCATCTGCCTGTAGGCTTCCTCGGCCACGGCGAAGATGTGGGGGTCCATGTCCCCCATGTTCTGGCCGCTGTAGGCGTAGATGACATCCTGCCCGTAGATTGGCAGCTGCTCAAAGGGGTTGATGGCCACCAGCACGATACCTGAGGGCAGACAGACAGGCAGGCGGTTGGTATTTCTGAGTTTTCAGGACTTGTCTTAGTTGCTTCAGTAAGATTTTAAAATGCAATGATTGAGAGTTAACAAAGAAAGTGAGTGGGGAAGGGCTCATAATTGTTATCTCAGCATCCCCTTCAATAGCAAGGCAGTAAACTCCTGTACAGCTACAAAGGAGATGCACAAAACTGGTGAGAAGAGCAAAAATATACAATAATCTCCATTGTGTGAAGACAGGCTTTGCAGAAGGGGTGAGAAGAGATCAACACAGCCTGAGCCAGCACTACAGAAAAGCAATTCCTGTGCAACCAAAGCCCTGCTAGACCCAAACAAACCTCTTGGGTTTTCCCCTGGCCTGGGTTGTGAGTAAAACTCCTAACAAAGAATGTGCCCAAATAAAAGTGAAATACATAAATCACAGGGAAGGAATGCCAGAGCCTGCTCTGAGGCTTTCATGTCTGCCTCCTCAACAGCTCTGGGCACTGAGCAGGGAGCTGATGAGAGGCCAAGCCACACGTGTACTCCCCTTGGGCTCCAGGGAGCTGCTCTGCATCCAAGCTCCACCTCTGGGGAGTTTTGGGTCGGGCAGGTCTCAGCTGCACCTGCAAGGAGCTCCAG